ATATATATAATTGTTTTAATATATAGCATAGTTTTTTAAATATTTTTGATACACCGCCACAACAAGGTACAGTTTATTTCTGTTGTGCAATTTAAAACTTTATTAATCAATTTATAAATTTGAATAATAATCGATGCATCAATTAGCACTAGTTTAGCAATTATTACGTAAACGAACAAATTCTAATTAATTGCTTTTTTATTAGGCGTATTTGGAAAATTCATTATGACGTTATCAATCACACTGCAAATGTCTTCAAAAACTTCTGTCTCATCTTTTTCGCCATCAATAATCACTAGTTGTTTTTTGTAATATCTAAGGATGGACTTGGTCATTCGACTATGTTTCTTAATTCGTTGCCAATTTTCATCAATACTGCGATCTGGCCTCTCAGTAGTGGCGATGGTCTTGGCTAGGATTCTATCTATTAGTAATGAATCTCTGACATATAAACGCAGGACAAGATCTGGCTGTCGAATTTCTTTATCGAAATGGTAACACTGTGTCTTTTCTCTAGGAAATCCGCTCAGTAGGAAACCTCGTGTATCATGTAAGTTTCTCAGCATCTTCGCCTTGATTAGTTCTACCATAACATCCGAGGGAATTAATTTATCTTCCGACATCAAATATGCCAAGATAATGCCTCTTTGTGTACCGGTAGTTACTTCAGTGCGCAACAATTGTGTACTTATAATGGCGCAAAAACCATAACGTTGTGCTACCCGTATACATTGTGTCGCTATAGAAAAAAAGAATCAAAATTATTATCCTATTTTAAAGAAGTTAAAATTAGTTCCATATTATTATTATTATATTATATCTTCAAATGTAATAACAATATTTAACTTGTATTTTACACACAAGGCATTTTCAAGCAAGGATATAATGAATACAGTGAATACATTTTATCTTGTTTAATGTTAACAAACAAGGATTATTTGACAGTTTATTTTCGCGTTTTCCAAATCTCTTCGAGATTATTTAGTAATATTTTCATTAGCGAAAAAAATTTGCAAATACAAAAAATATTGACTTTATTGTTTTATTATTGCTTTATTATTGCTTACTATTTGAAAGTGTTTTATTCATATGTAAAATTACAAATAAAAATTCAACGAACACTTTCCTGCTCCTGGACCTCCAATCAGAAAGATAATTGGCAGTCCTGATTCTTTAATTGGTGTAGCATCGAGCTCAGTATTTCTTGGTATCATAGCACATAAAGGATCAACAGGTCGCACGCAATTTAGGCCCATCTTTATTTTCTACAAATATTATTTATTGTTTTAAAATATTTTAAAAGTAATTATTAAAAATAACTTTATTTGATATTTTTTGAAGCAAAGTTATGTAAATAAAAATTTTTTTGTACATTTAGAAAGACGCTATTTGTATCATCCTATCTTCATCGTTTATCAGACATAAAACGAGAATAAAATGACACAAATAGCACTAATAGCACTAATAGCATTTCCCCGAACGCACCTCTTATATGACATACTGAGGTCCTTGAAGTTGAAGCTTTATTATCATATAAATTAAATATCATATACATGTAATGCGCGATCTACAATGACAGTAGAAGTGGAAATGAGATTGTAAGAATAAGAAATTAACCAATCACAATCGAATGTGAGCAGAATAATCGACTGTGATTGATCAATTTCTTATTCTTACTTCTTACTACGTGTATTGTAGATGACGAATTAGAATATGAGGGTACATTCGAGGAGCGCGCTATCATTGCCATTTGTGTACACTATCCTTGTACGTCTAATAGACGATGAAGAATGACACAAATAGCGCTAATAACATTTCCCTGAAAGCAGCTAAAAAGTATTTCGCTCATGAAGTACGCATTAATCAGTCAGAGAGTTACCACAAATGCAAAAATCAATATTCACTTATAATCTGTGATAGATTAAATTTAGGTTATCACAATGCTATCGCCCAGCTAACGCTAAATATTCCTGAAATATTTATAAAAGGTTCCTAAAAACTCAAAAAAACATTCCAGTATTCTGGAATATTCGGAAATATTACGGAACGTAAAAGCAATATTCAAATATTGGTTTAAAATTGTATTTACATATTCCGAGAATGTTCCGCACAATGTAAATTTCAAAAATTCTAGGTTCGATTGTCCCTAAATCAGTTTTTAAATAAAATTTTGCTTTGAAAAACACATTTCATATTTTTATCTTAGAGTCCAATTTTGAGTTTTTACAGGCGAAATGCTGCTCTCCTTATTATTCTTTCAAAATTATTCTTGTTGAATAAATGCTCTTTGACGCGGCCTTCTATTAGTGAGATGTGTATTGCTCACTCACGAGTGATTTTCGATAATACAAGAAATATTCATACAATATTTTGAACATTTTATTGATTCATTTGTATATTCTGTAACGATTCTTTCACTATGGCGATATATATGTGTCGAAATATTCGACACATTGGAAATACGAATTGAACTTTAAAAATATTTAGCATTAACTGGGCAATCGCGCTACATTTGAGGCTAAATTTTTATTGACTGTTCCAAATTCAACCTTACCATCATGCACAACGAAATACCTTGTATTCTTACATCATGATAATATACAGGGTGTCTTCGACCATACATCTTTTTTATTTTCATAAAATAAGATCCAATCAAAAATATGTTCAGACAATAATTTTAGGATTTAAAAGTTCTATTTACTATAGCTTTATCAGTTTGACCTTTGGTGACATCGTCGAGATTACATCAATTTTTAAAAATAAAAACCTCCACTTTTTATATTCTTGTAACTTATCTTGAAAACTTTTCAAAATACTATAACAAACATATTTTTTTTTTAATACTTTTTGTAATATTTACTTTTGTAAAATATTACATGTGTCGACAAACTTTTTAAACACGTTGATTGACTGCAGGACAGAAAGAGATCCTAAGATTTGCATCACATCAATTTTTTCAGCAGTGTCGGTAATACGTAGATCACATTATTCTATAAAATTGATGGTGTCGCTAGTGTACGGAAGCTTCAAAAGGCCTGTTCTTTTTAGCTGATCTCTGAATTTTTGCACCAGTTCATCTTTCTTCCTTTTTTCTTCTTTTCAAGAGAAAAGAAGAGAAAGAAAGATGAACTGATGCAAAAGTTCAACCAAAAAGAACAAGCCTCAAGAGTCAAACCAAAAAGGATGAGGACGCTCTTAGATTTCTCTCTGGTGAGATTAGACTAGTATTACATTTGTCGTATGACAAAGTTTTTAAGTTTATTGATTGGCTATTGGATAAAGAGATCCGACAACTTCTCGTCTTACAGCCAATTAATAGGCTTAAAATGCTTTGTCGTACGACAAATATAATAACTGCTCAACACTGTAAAAACCTACTAAAATTTACTGTCATTACTGAAATTCCATAATTATCTGATAGGCGTACTTATTTTGCAATAAAAACGTTAATTCTGAAAGATTTATTAACTTAAATCTAAATTAAAAT